TTGATCTTCAGCACCCACATGGTAGAACGAAAATTGACTCAAGTTATCCTCTGATACATAACAACACATACACTAAATTAAAAAACACTAGCAAACAGAATTCAACAACACATTAAAGTGATTATGTGGGGTTGGAGAGATGGCTCAGTAGTTAAGAGTGTTGGCTGCTCTTTGCAAAGGATCCCAAGTTTAGTTCCCAGCACCTGCATGGCAACATGACAACCATCTCATTAATGCTAGTTCCAATCAGATGCCCTCTTATGTATGGTCTCTATGGGCATCAGGCACACATGTAGTACACAGACATATATACATGTAAGTAAATATCCACACATATAAAATAAAAACAAAGCTTTTTCAAAAAGTATTAGCTACTATGTCATGATCAAGAAGGATCTATTGACAGAATGTTAGGTGATTTAGCTGAACAAAAATAACAAAAATCTATAATGGGTTGGGGACACAGACAGTTCAGTTGGTAAAAGTAGATTGCTTTGTAAGCAGGAGGACATGTGTTTGAGCCCCAGCATCAGTGAAAAGTCATGTGAGATGGTGTACATTTATAATACCAACACTAGGGAGGCAGAGATTGATGGATGCCTGGGCCTTACTGGCCAGCCAGTAAGAGTTCTAGGATATCAAGAGACTCTGATTCAAAAAATTAGATGGATCATGCCAGAGGAATGATCCTCAGGGCTGTCCTTCTGACCTCCCCACCAGTGTGCACATGTGTACAGACTGGCACTCAAGCATATGTATATACATATAATTGAACACACACACAACAGTGAAATACACATTTCAAGATGAAAAACACAGTGATTTCAAATGATACAGAAAAAGCATTTCACAAAATTCAGTATCTTGTCATGATAAAAACTCAATAAATTAAAAGTAGAAGGAAAGTCAACAACAAAAAGCCATATATAAAAAGCCCACATTATACTCGTACAATATATTACATTATACAAAGCCTTTTCTTTAAAGCCAAGAATGCCCATTTTCATCACTAGTATTCAATGCACTACTAAAATCCTAACAATCAGGCAAGAGGAGGAAATGAAAGGTATCCACACAGAAAGGAAGAGGTAAAATTACCTGTTGCAATGATTCTTAAGTGGAAACTAAGAAAATAATTCAATTTATAATAACATCACAAAGAATTAGAACACTTAGGAATAAATTCAACCAAGGACTCTAAATGGGAAGATATTTTCTGCTTAATTGTAATTAGAATTTAACAACTATAATTGTTAAAAGTCAGTACTACCTCAAATGGCAGATTTAACCATTGATGGCTACAAACAGAGCAGTCATCCTACAATTCAGGATAGCCAAATCAATATTGAATAGAAAAGTGGAGAGGACTAGGAAGATGGTTCTTCTGGTAATGTCTGAAGCGCAAGCATGTTGATCACAGAACTCAGGCGGAAGAGCCTACTCCCAGAAGTTATCCTGACTTCCACATGTAGCTGTGGCATATGCCTGCACACATTCATACACAATTGTTTCCCTTCATTTCAAAGAACCTCAAACAACCAAAATATTGAAAAGTGAATAGATCATATTATTTCGGAATTTACTATAAAGCTCCAGTAGCCAAAATAGTATCATGGGTTCAGAAAGAACATACAAAAAGAATGGAGTAAAACACAGAAATAAACCCTCACTCACAGTCAAATCAGTTTTGAGAAGGGATCCAAGACCATCAACAAGGAAGGGGCAGTCCTTTTTTTAACAAACATAAGGAAATCTATATTCATAAGAATAAAAGCAGACCCTTTTATAATATATAATTATCTCAAAAATGGATCAAGGAGTTCTTATATAGTCCTTACATAAAGCTATGCAACTCATTTGGTGATACCAACAGCACAGGAAATAAGTTACATCAAAATTTAAATTATTTTTGTACCAAAGAACACGGTCAACAGAGTCAAAAGAATGGGAGACTATTTGTAAATCATGCATCTGACAAGTCATTTCTACCCGTACATATAAACAGGCTGGTGAGATAATTCAGTGGTCAAAGTGCTTGCCACAAGTCTTGCAACCTGTTTCATTCTTAGAATGCATGTAAAAGTGAAGGCAAGAACACCCTAGAATTATGGTTTTCCATATGCGTACCTTTGTACATGTGCCCTCACAATGAATTAAAAAGTGGGTCCCTAGAATAATCTAAGTCAGAGGCAGAAAGCAGAATGAAGTTGCCAAGAGCTGGTGGAAGCTAAGGGTTTTGTCTGTCTGCTCTGAGGCATGCTCTACCCAGTCTTAGCTATCTTGGAGCTCACTGTATAGACTAAGATGGCTTCAGACAGGGATCCTCCTGCCTGCCGATAGTGTACACCACCATGCCTAGCCCACAGCTAAATTTTGTTAAGATGATTTCTAGAGATGGCTTTAATACCAGTATGAACACAGCCATTGCACCTAAACTGTACAGTTAAAAGTGGTTGATATAAATCTTTTTGCCAAAATCAAAGTATTTTACAAAAAAACCTGAGTGACTATGCATCATTCCATACAAGAGGTCAAAGATAACATGGCCAATCCCGAGACAAACTATCTTAAGTGACCCAGGCTTGCTTTGTACTATGTAGTCAGGCCAGGGTGACAAAGTGACAGGCCAGGTGTCTGTGGTGCTGGTGATGGAACCCAGGCTTAATGCATGCCAGGTAAGCACTCTACCAACAGAGTTGCATTATCCAGCCCCTAAAAACCATGTTCCTAAGAGAAATATGCTTAGATATTTGGAACTTAAGAGGCAAGCTTGCCCATAAGCTACTCACATGGGCTGCAAAAGAAATCATATACATTATATACAATATACATACTATATATATATATATATATATATATTATAAAGAAAAGTGGCACAATGGAAAATGTTGAAGAGTATATGGGAGCTAATTTCAGTGTTCTGAAAATTCAGTAAATAGCAAAGATAATTTTAAAACAAACTTACTATTTTCTCTTTAGATAGTGTAGAACCTCCCATTCCCTTGAACTTCAGGATATGGTTTTATCACTTGCTTGCTGTATTTACCTTATATAACACTGTAGTAAGTGGAGATCATCCCAAAATTCTAGTAATTCTTTAAAACATGCTTTGCATGTTTTGAGCTGTTTCGTGGTTTATTAGATGCTGTTTATTGCTTTTGGTTAATGGAATCAAAACAATGTTGGGGTGGTCTGCCACCACCTAGTGCTGAGCTGCTGTGATATCTTCCTGCTTTCACAGGCCACCTGCTGTGTGGGGAGTATACTCATGGGCTTCCACAGGCTCTTTTCTTCCCCCCATTTTGGTTTTTCCAGGCAAGGTCTCTTGTGTAACCCTGGCTGTCCTGGAACTCTCTATGTAGATCAGGCTGGCCTTGAACTCAGAGATCCACTTGCCTCTGCCTTCCAGTGTTGGGATTTAAGGCATAAAGCATCAGGCCTGGCTTTAAGATTTATTTTTACCTTTCTGGTTGTGAGTCTAGCCATGTGTGTGCAGGTGCAGAGGCCAGAAGAGGGTGTTGGATCCCCTAGTGCTGGAATTACAGGCAATTTGTAAGCTGCCCAACATGGGTTTTGGGAACGGGTCCTCTGCAAGAACAGCAAGTATTCTTTACCACTGAGTCCTTTCTTCTAGCTCCCCCTTTTGTTGTTGTTGTTGGTGGTGGTGGAGGGAGGAAGAGTTCAAGACAGGGTTTCTCTGTATAGCTTTGGCTGTCCTGGAACTCACTATGGAGACCAGGCTGGCCTTGAACTCACAGAGATCTGTCTGCCTCTGCCTCCCAGTGCTGGGACTAAAGGTGTATGCCACCACACCCAGATTGAAAGGTTCTTACAGTGTTTTAGTCCATAAAGTCCATGTTCCTTCAACTGTCCAAAGGCCATTGTGGCCGATAATACTGTTTTTAAAAATCAAGGCCTCAGTTTGTATCAGAAAAGGATTTTTGTAATTAACAGGTTACTGATAACTTTCTTGATCTACAGAAATCTCTCATGATTTTTAAGAATTCTCAAAATCGAATAAGAAACTAAATTGTGTTTCTCCCTTTTCTACTTGCCCAGTTGCTATATGTAACTGAATAACTTTCAAACAAGAGAAACAAAAAGTTTGTTATATTTCAACTCCAATTAGAATAGCATAATCTTTATTTGAACAGGGTCTTGCTAAGTAGCAGGTTGTTGGGGGAACTGATGTTCCTACCTCCACTTCTAGAGTGCTGAGATTCCAGGCATGCCACAATGGCATACAGCTCAATTCTGAAAATGCTCAGCGTTCGTGAAAGAACAGACAGTTCTAGGGATCAGTCTTCTTCAACAAGACTGGCTCTACTTCCGACATGGGCTGCAAGCGCTATCTTCAGACCATCAACATTCCAGGGTGGTTATAAAGTGGGAAGTTCCCAAGAACTTCTTGATTTAAAAATTGCTAAATGACTCACAGAACTCAAGATTATAGTTATAACTAGTCTTATTAGAAAACATCTAAGGCCAACCAGGTGAATGAAATTTCAGGAGTGGTCTAGTGGGTAATGCAGAGCTTCTGTGCCTTTGTTCTCCGAGGACACTAATACAATTGCAGTGTTCACAGCATTCAGAGTCTTGCCATATAATTCAGGCAAGCCTTAGGTTCATGATCCTCATTTCAACATCAGTCTCCCAAATACTGGGATTTACAAGTATGCACGGCACCTGGCATGTCCAGAGTTCTTTACTGGGGCTTCATGACAAAGGCATAATTGATTAATCAAACAGGCAATGTGACTACAGCCCAAACATATTTTGGGTGATCGATCAGCTTCTACTCTAGAGCAATCTCAGGGGCCTACAATGAGCCAAATCAAGAGTAAAATGAAACTTCAAGAAACTTAAGGGTTTGAGATATTCCTTTTTGGAAGCCAGAGACAAAGCCCAGACAAACTCCTTATTATATCACACACAAGTAGCAAAAAGGACTTTTTTGTCCTCACAGAGAATTATTTCTAAGACAATGATGAGACAACCCCCCAAAACCAGAATGAAATTTTATTACGTACAGTTTATAGAAGGAGGAGTACTCTTCTGTACAAAGCAGACAACTGGTCTTAAATACAATGGAGAGAAATGTTCGTCCTGCGACAACAGGTGATACAAGTGGAACCATTTAGACACACTAAACATTTATAAGTATCTTCTTTCTCAAGATAGTCCATTGTGCATTTTTAGAGATGGGGACATGTCCCAGGCAAGGTCACAATGGCATTTTATTGCCCTCGATGCTGATTTTCACTGCATGTGCAGATCTGCTTTTTTTCCTGATATCTGTGAACTTTCTCATCTGTTTATCCAGTCGACTGATACCTTTCTTGGAGGTTGCCTGAAACTAAGATTGGGGAAAATTGAAGAACAAATTATTGAAATATGTAAATCTAGCAGTCAGAAGAGCTTGAAGCTTAACAATAACCAGAATATACATTGGTGACAAGGACAGAGCAAATGTTAGAAAAAAAAAATTGTCGACCTCTCAGTGATGACAATTGGTTATTGTTTTGCTACAGCCTACAGAAACTTCCTAGAAGACAGAAGGGGGGAAATACAGAAAGTATAATCTTCCCAATTTCATCACAAACATCTGACTGTATGAGACTAACTACTTGACATACAATTTCAAACAGTGCTGGTATTAAAAAGCATAAAACAAAGAAAAGTCAAAAATAACCAACACAGGCAAATTCTGAGTTGTTGATGTTCTAGATTCAGCCTTGGTGTGAGTCCCTGGTCTGCTTCAGCAGGATCCAGAATCCTATTTAAGCTACTACCAGGACATACCCCACTTTTACAGTTACAGGCTTAATTAGGGTTTGTTTATCTTTGTTAAAACCAAGTATTTGAAGAATATTTCTAGTAATGCATGTCTTACAAAAATATGGTTCCCAAGAAACAGACAGCTTTTATCTGGAAAAGTCTGCCACTGATGTCAAAGACCAATGTGACTTGTTGCTGACTGCAGCTAAGAATTCAGAAATTGAGAATAGTGAGTATGGTGGTTTGAATGAAAATGACATCCAGTGTCATGTATTTGAATGTGTGGTTACTAGGAAGTGAAAATGTCTGAAAAGATTATAAGGACTAGGAGGTGTGGCCTTATTAAAGGAAATGTGTCACTGCAGGTGGTGGATTCTGAGGTTTCAAGATCCCATGCCAGGCCAAGTTTTTTTTTTTTTGTTGTTTTTGTTTTTCTTTCTCTTTCTCTCTGCCTATGGATCAGGCTGTAACTCTCAGCTCTGTTCTGGTGCCATGAATGCCACAGTGGCCCCACTATGATGATAATAAACTGACTAACCCTCTGAAACTATAAGCAAGCCCTTAATTAATTGCCTTCTTTTATAAGAGTTGTCTGGGTCATTATGTCTCTTCACAATAGAACAGCAACTAATAGTGAGTGACCTGTTGGCTATATTGCTATATAGGCTGTACAGGGTTACAGGGCAGTGGGGAAAGAGGAGAAATAGTCATCAATGGTATTATACAGCAGTAAACACTATAATACTGACTTGCCAAACAAGATGTGTGCACTGGTACAATATTGGCATGACTATTATGGCGGTGTAAGAGCCAAAGGATGGGGAGGAGTGCTGGGAAATGCTGTCTTTGGGACATGACATGGTTGTACTCATGAGCTCACTGCAGATATGGTTAAGCCAACATATCAGTCAGTATTCCAGCAGACAGCATAAACTGTGGTATACACACCCATACACATGAACAACACAAGTAAATTAAACACCCAACCAAAAAAACTACATTAAGAAGATACAAAGGTAGAAAAGGTGTTTGGGTATCCAGAAGGATAATGGGATGTTGGGGGTGGGAAGTAGGAAAATACACTGTATACAAGTATGAAACTGGCAAAGAATAAACTAAATATTAAAAAATAAGAATGTGTATGATTAGAGACAGTTGTTTTTCTTTTACTTCTCCCCAAATATTTACTACTCAATCACCTCCAAAGCTCTAGTCTCAAAGACACTAAAGAAGGTAAGCTAGACACACTCTTGAAGTTGTGCACTGTGAGACTTCTTAGTCTATTGATGGACTCAGGCTCACCCTAATATAATGTGATTTCATCACTAGCCAAGGAACAAGCTTTCTATGGCATTCTTGAAGTTTTCTAGGGATATCCCAATTCCAAACATTATTCAATACTTGGCACTAGTACTCTTAGCATAAAAAAAAAAATCACTGTTTTACAGAAACAGTTGTATTGTATTATCTTAGCCTTCATTTCATTTTTGTATAGGAGCTGGTGGAGGCTTTACTGCTCAAATCCCTCACAATCACCTGGTTCCCTGAAGCTCTACATATCAAGCTGACTTTTCTTTGCTCATTCCCAGGATCTACTCGAATAGTCTGAACCCTACAGAATCTGTTTGCCATCAGCACCAGGGACATACCCCGGCTAATGCCAAACTACTACTGCTCACTGCAAATATGTAGCCTGCTAGTTGCTCTATGATCTAAGTTTCATCACACACATTCAGTACCTATAATATGCCAAAATCAATGATCTTCATTTCCTGACTCATCAATTTTACAACATTCTTTTGAACATTGGAAAAGCCATAATGTTTTATCAATTAAAAAAAAAAAGCCTGTAGAAGACTAGCAGGAACAAAAATGGGGAGGGGAGAAGGGGGAAATGTACAACTATATGACAACATATAAATCACCAAGAATGGGAGTCAAATGGAATTTTACCATGTTCAGTTAAAACCAAACATTCAAGTTCAAATTGTGAGTATGATCAAATTGCTGATTGAAAATTTTAAAAAAGGCTAATATTCATGCATGCATGCATAAAAAAGAACATAGTTATAATTTAAAATGTTAGTGAACTTTTATAGTAGAGAATGAGTTATATTACATTTATATGTAATACCTATATTTTAATACTTTATACAAAAATAAGTACTGCCTCTACCATTTTACTACTTTTTTTTTCTTTCTTTCTTTCTTTTTTTTTGGGGGGAGGGTTTTCAAGACAGGGTTTCTTTGTAGGTCTGGAGACTGTCCAGGCTGACCTCGAACTCACAGAGATCTGACTAAAAGTATGCGTCACCAACGCCGGGCACTACTATTTTTTTTTTTTTTTTTTTTTAAAGCCCCAGCATTCAGAGGCAGATGGATCTCTGTGGGTAGGCCAGTGTGCTCTACATAGCAAATTTTGGACCATTCAAAATTTTGTCTCTCAAAATAAATAAGTTTTAAAAATCAGAAATTAGTATATATTCACATAAATCACAAAGACTATTACTCTGAGAAATGATGAATCTTCAATGTGGATTAATGAAAAATGAACAATGATATGCTAGTCTGGTTGACACATATTTTGACAGCTTAGATAAATATCAGCAAATTATGACTAGAAATACAGGAAGGGAGGTTTCCCTTATATTGAATAAAAATGATAGCTAGCTCTCCTACCCCTGAGAATATGGGTTCTTGACCAGCAATAACAGCAGGTGGGCACACAGCACCTAGTAACATGGAGTATGCTTCTGGAGCTGACTGGCTAACCAACTTTTATTACATTTTCATTTCCAATTCAAAAATGAAAGTACTAGAAAGGAAATATGAATGAGGTAGCTAAAATGAGGGAGGATACAGTGAGAAAATATAAGGAGGTTAAAAACAGAAATAGGTAATAAAAGGATACCAAGGAGAGGTGGACATTGATTTAGATATAGAACAAACCAGAAAATAAGTGAGTACAAGTTGAGGAAAATGTCCTCTGCATAGAATGAACCCCCTTTATTTATTTTCAGTAGTTAATTGCACATCATGGCAATGTCAAGTACCAGGAACAGGAGTGTACTGAAGGAAGCAACAGATACTGCACCCAGCAGCAAGGTGTTACTCCTGATCTCAGTGTCTGGCATATGACCAGGTGAAGAAGACCTCTTAAATACATCTACACACCCAGTAAAAGGTTTTATATAATGAATCCTTGATAAATGCTACCATGTCATGGACTACAGGAAAAAAGTTACTTCCTGTTCACAACAAACCAGTTTGCATGCCTTCAATGCAGACTATGATTCTGCCCACCCCCACCTCCCCCACAAAAGGCCTTTTATTTTCAGTCAGGCAGGGTGGCACACATGTATAATGCCAGTATTCAGGAGGCAGAGAAAGGTGGATATCTATGAATTCGAGGCTAGCCTGGCCTACAGAGTGAATTCCAGGATGGCCAAAACTACACAGAGAAACCTTGTCTGAAAAAAAAAAAAAAAAAAAAAAAAAGAAATTTTTTAAAACTTTTTTTTTTTTTTCATAAAAATGGGTAACAATCAGGAAAAACAAAACTTTTATTGGATACTGATATAGAAGGGGACCTTAGTGCCAACTCTTAAGGATTCAGAGGTCTTAATGTCTCAGGATGCTGGCAAGGATCATTAATTCAGAAGCTGAATTCAGGCCAAGCCTTTTCTGCCTAAGAAGGCACATATTAGTTTCCACTCTGCTGGCAATTCAAATCCATGCACAGCTCATGCTTCCTTGGGAATACCTCTTGTGTACAATCTGGCAGGGCCAGGACTAGAGGGGCATTCTGTTGCCTTCAATGCTGAACTTGACAGCACGATGCATTTTGCTGAGCCTCTTCTGTTCTGCAAACCGCCTCTTATGCCTTTCCAACCGACTTAGGCCCTTTTTAAGTATACCAAGCTAGAAAGAGTGGTTTGATAGGAGAGAAAGATTACCAAGAAACAGCATTTGGGTAATGTCTTCACTGATGACAGGGCAAGTCTCTATGCTGACAATTTCACAACCAAAATGCTTAAGCAGGTGGAGAGAAAAAGTTCTATTTCTCATGATTCTTTAAGTGAATGAATATCTAAGAAATCCTAAAACAGATCTGAATAAAATAAACCTTAACTGCTATAAACATTATTAAACGTAAAGAAAAGGGGAAAATTCAAATGGCCTTGCTTCTTCCTCTGCTCACTCACCCTAGACGACTCCATTTCTACATTCCACTTGGGCCTGACGACATAGTCCTTGTTTGATGGCATTGGGACTCTAGCACGGGCACAGAAGCCAGGATCTCCAGGTCTAAGAGCCCTGAGGAAGGTAAGAAAAACTACTTATTTAGCTGGCCACACCAGAGCCCAAGTGAGATTTCACCCTTGTAAACCTAGGTCCATCACATTCAGTTACCCCACCATCCCATCATCAGACATACTGCTATAGTGTGTGAACTATTTCTTCAATGCCAATTTCCTCTTTATATGAATTCTTGCTTCTCCTTGGCTTCAGAGGCAATCAAGCCCTGTGCATATGTACCACTAGAAAAGGGAGTCAGGTCCCTTGGAATTGGAGCTACAAACAGTGTGAGCCATAATGTGAGAGCTAGTAACCAAACGTAGGTCCCCTGCAATAACAGCAAGTGCTCTTGAGCCATCTTTCCAACTCAAAGAGTACAACTATGAATCCTAAGTTCTCTAGTATTGAGAGTAACTAGGAGATGAAGAAAAATTAGTTTGTCAAAATAATTCCCCATTCTTGGAGAAAACATGAGGTCACTACAAATTCCCTAGCAGTTACAAGAAGTAATAAAGAGAGATCCTAGGGTCTCTCTCACTTTCCAAACTATATTGTATCACAGTGAGGATCTACCTCATGTACATTTCTCATTTTTACTTGTACTTATTTGTGCTTATATTTAGTTCTAGGCAACTTTGAAAATAAACATGTTCCACTAAGATCACAATTCTAAGAAAAGCCCTCCTGTCAGTGTCCGGGCATTTAAGTTATTCAAACTTTAGGAACTCCCCCTAATGATAAGGTCAGAGCAAAACTTACATCTGCTGGAAGTAGGAAGCAAACATCTACACTCTCACCTACAGGCTCTAGCCTGTATGAACACATCTCTACTGGCTCCTTGGCTACACTCCTCTGCCAAACTGGTTAGTTTCTCTCTTTCTTTTCCTTTCTTTCTTTTTGGTTGTTTGTTTGTTTGTTTGTTTGTTTTCTTTTTTAAGACAAGGTTTCTCTGTAGCTTTTGAGGCTGTCCTGGAACTCACTCAGTAGACCAGGTTGGTCTTGAACTCACAGAGATCCGCCTCTCTGCCTCTCGAGTGCTGGGATTAAAGGCATGCACCACCACAGCCCAGCTTAGCTTATTTCTTATGCTAGACTCTAAATTGAACATATCCTCCCACCTATGGAGATAACCACCAAATCTTTGTCTAGCTTGACTAGACTCCATGGTGTTTCTAAGAGTATCTCATTAACTTCCTCACAATGAATAGTTTGAAAAAATAACTTACTACTAATTTCTTCATATCTACTTACTCATCTTTAGTTTTAGTGGATGGTAGTACTCTGATTTAAATATCTGGTTAGAATCTTCAATTGTAAATCAACTTCTCCCTAAACATGTCACCAACTCTAAGCAACTATCTCTACAATGTCTTCTCAGCCTACTGCTCCAACCTGCCTGCTCAAATGATGCCTCAGAACCAGCATTTCTAATTAAACACAACAGTTTCTTATACAGGCTCAAAACCTTTTGCTTAATTATAAAAAGGAGGAAAAATCCCACATCTTGATCTGAGTCTCCTGCTAGTTCACACCTGTCATCTCACATGTTGCTGCTTCAGCACACCTAGCATCTTGAAACCAGGACTGCACAGGAACAACTTGGTTTACCTCCTCCCATGAAACTATACATGACAACATGGGAAAAATTTAAGTTTCTTTTGTATTCATTAAGCTTTAGACTTCAAAGGATTCTAGCATTAGAAAGCAGCAACACAATACTTGTTAAATGAACCATTTTCTTAATTCTTCAGAGCACCCAATACACTGTTTTGTAGTTACTCAATAAACATTAAATTGAAAAAAAAAAAAAAAAGAAAAACTATCCTTTGTCAATAGGAACACATAATATTGTTCTTAAAATGAAGTAAAAAAACAAAAATCATCTATATATACTTAAAAAAAAAAACACACACACACAAGACAAAACCTTACTTTTCCTCTCCTGTCAGCACCTTCTCCAAGTCTCTTCGTGGTGTCTGACCACCAGTGCTAGGAAAAGAACAAACAGTGAGATAACCGGATCTTAAATTCTTACAACTAGGAAAAGCACATCAAAATATCAAATTTATACCATTAGTGCTTCTATATTGAATCACAGAAAGCACTTTCAAAAAAGAAAAGCATGATGTGTGCATGTGTATATGTGCACACATGTGAGGGTAGTGAGAGGATACTTTTTCTTTCTGACTTAACTTGGGTTCTTGTCATTCAGGTTGCCAGGTTTGCACAGGAAGTGCCTTTATCCTCTGAGCCACCTTGCTGGCCTCAGACCTTGTAGTTGTGTTAAAGTTTGTTCCCTTTAATATTCATTCGTGATGCAAGTATCATTCTGGGTAATCTACACAAACTACACTTGTAACTGATAACCCTGCTCTCCCAAGATGTATCCAGAACACTGATGAATTGAACCAATATTTTTTTCCTCTTAGGGTTTTGGAACTGGGACTGAAAAGGTTGTTTTCTGCAAATGGCTAGAACACTACAATCTATAGCATTCCAGCATTGTGAGGGAGCATACTGCATGTAACTGTGACAGGAAGGCCTGCCCTACACACCACTATATTAAATTACACTTGTGCATTCATACCTGTTCCCTCATACCTGCTCATTCTTCGTCGTTGAGGCATTTGTTCTAGATCTCTCTGCTCCCTTTCTTCTCTTGTCATTCCTTTATAGTTTGAAGTAAGACCAAATATGGGCCGAGACCACTCATCTACAATAAGAAAAAATAATAATTATTTAGTTCATAAAGTAGCATTTCTCCTGGGTTTTTAAATAATCACACTCTAGTACTGGGCAGTAGTATAGGCATTTATAGAGTATTTCTTTTTAAAATATGGAGCACAGGAAGAATGAAAACAAACCTAGAGAGCATTATCAGTATGTACTTCAGTTAGAATCTAGACTTCTCTGGTAAGCATAAGAAAAGGTCATGGAGGCTAACAACAGCAACAGTGACTAACTTTCCGACAGTCATGCTCTCTACACTAATAATCCAAGAAAAACAAAGAATTACTAAAATATCTTTGATACAGACGTAGAGACCAAGCTTGAAGCTTAAGTCACTGGCTAAGGGTTTTTAGGTAAAATCAACACTATGAAGTAGGCAAGGCTAATTCCAGGGACTGCATTCTACCCACTCTCTACGTTCTTGGTCCACAGCTAGAAGACATACACTTTTGATCGCTGTAGTTAACAATGGAAAGCATATTTAAATAAACTTAAGAGCAATTTAGAGTAAGAGAAAAAAAAAATGTAGTACTTGTGCATAGGCATTAAAATTCTTCTATTCCACTTTAGGGGGTGGTTTTAAAACTAATATTGGTAAATATATAGTTTTTACATGTGCATGTCTCTCCCTCTATAGACATTAAACAAACAAAAAGCAAACTTTACATACTGATTAATTTCCCTGCCATATCCTTGTTGGACCTTGATTCCTTGGGGTGTTTATACAGATACATCACTGCTCGTCCAATCCCACTATGCTTCAGGGTCTCCTGGCTCACACTAGGTAGCTGGGGAACAAAAACACATACATGCACATTAATTACTCAGGAACTAGGAGGCATGCTAATTTAGAGACCTTCAAGGCCTCATTTGCTCACATTAGAGTTAATACAAAATTCCATTGTTAGGATCTATGAAAACATGGACCATCCTTTGTGTTGACATCAAGTCAAGATTTCAGTATTAGCGAAGTAAAACACCAACTACACATACTTAAGAGGACAGCAGTTAAGCTCAGGCCTTGGAAACCAACATACCTAAGCCTGAATCTATGTACAACCGCCAGCTAGCTAAACTACCTTAGATAAATCATTTAACTTATCTTAGTTTCCTCATCTATAAAATGGAGGCCAATACAAACACAAAAACCTAGCACAATGTTTGGTATACAGAGGTTCCTTCCAAGTTTCTTCAGATGCTAAACAGCTTGCCTGGTTGTCCCAATCATACAAAAAAGAACCCCAACTAGAGATTCCAATTCAAGTTTATAAACTCTAAACGTAGTGTACTTTCTATTTCAAGTGCCTCTTAGATGCTCACTACTGGACTGACTGTTCTGCCATGAAAACCATGGCTGCACTAAAAACTCTTTCCTTGGAAACTGTCATCAACAAATTTCATAAGTTTTTCTTTTTATGCTCATTTTGTTAGGTATGGTATCTTTCCCCAAAACCCTCTTTCTGGCAGGCTGCACCACTTATAAGTAAATGATTCAAGATACAGGTCTTGATTACAGAAAACACATTAGATATTTAATGAATTACAAATTATCTGTGCTAACCTCTTGCAGAATCTTCAACAATTCCTCCCGAATCTTCAGTGCAGGCAGACTCCTATCTGGTAGAGGTGAGAGCCATTCTTTGATGGCAGACATCACACCACTGTCAATAAATGTTTCTTTAAGGTCCTGCCTGCAAAAGTAAGGATAATAATGATGAACATGATAATAATGCCAAGTCTACCACCCTCTGATTTTACTTACACGGCGATGCTTCAAACAAACTAACAACAACCAAAAATCTGCTTTTAAAGAATTATGTATTCAACATTCACTCAACCGACGCTATTCTAGTTTTAAAAGCAGTATGAAGCTTACACTTCAAAGGTAACTCACTAAGATACGTAGGTTTTACAAAATTGATTAAAACCGGTACCAATGATACAGATAGTAAAATAAAAAAAGCCCAATTTATTATAACTAAACAAAAACAATCAACCTATAGATCATCTCATAGTGGGGAAAACAGAACTGTTATTCTCTGACAGGAATCAAGGAAAATATAGTTTTCCTGGCGGTGGGAACAATATCTCAATTGAATACCAATATTTAAATTCTGCTTTATGCAATGGAATAAATTAGAAAAATGTAGCATATCTATGTGAAATGTTCCAAATAGCTTTGCATGGCACAATGGAGAAAACAGTTCTCTAGTTGGCTCAATGGTGTGCTAAGGCATTTCTTTATCAAAACTAGATTGTAACTTTATTCAAGGAGAAAACAAAGTTGTTTATGACTATGAGCAAACTAATGAAAGAATTTCTTAACAAGGATTTAGGAAGAACATCATTGAAGGAAGAGCAATGACTGAGATGTACAGGGTCAAATAAATCTGTACAGCATGAGCTTCAAGCAGTATCTCCCAAGATTTGTTGTTTCTTACTATGTTGGGAAAAATAGATGAAAGTTTGCAAGGTCTCAATTGTCTATAAAGGATAAAATTAATAAATTTCAGCGTTTTCTTTTAATATTACCAGATTTATGTTTGTTCTGTTTGCAAAAAGCACTAAGGCTTAAAAAAAAAAAAAAGTATGAGCAGGGTAGTGGTGGAGCATGCCTTTAATTCCAGTACCCAGGAGGTAGAGGCAAGTGGATCTCTGAAAAATTCCAGGACAGCCAGGGCTACGTAGAGAGACCTTGTCTCAAAACAAAAATACCAACCAAACAAATATTTATGAACAACCATAATTAAGGAAAATTTTCCAGTCTGACAGAAGGCCATGATTATTCAATAGCTCGAAAACAACAGTATATAGTTTAAATATCATTTAATGAGTCAGAATTAGTTTGCTTTTTTTCAAGACAGTGTTTCTGTCTATAGAACTAACTCTATAGACCAGGCTGGCCTCAAACTCAAGAGATCCACTTGCCTCTGTCTCCAGAGTGCTGGGATTAAAAGAGTATGCCACCAGCACCCAACTTGAATAACATTTTATTAAAAAGAAATTTTTTTTTTCCCCAGGAAAACAAAATACTTACTTTTTAAGGTGCATAACCACAGTAGGCAATAAGGTCAATTTTTTCAGTGCTGGCTTTTTTTGATTATTCAATTGCCTGTCTTCCTATTCAAGAAACAGAACACCCCCCACACAAAAAAAAAGGGTTTAAAATAAAGCAACAGTAGCTCTTAATATACAGTTATAACAACCACTACAATTCTAAAACTAAAAACAGTTACTTAAAGAAAGTATAATTTTCCTGAGAGAAGGATGAGCTATTTCACACAGGACCAAACTCCTTATCTGTCTAGTCAATCAAACCCACAAATCTTGCTACACTGCTTCTTAACAACCAGTACTAACAAGTTTAAGTTTATGGAATTCATTCAAGGAACAATAGATAGCTGTGAAAATCTGGCTTATCTTCAAGAATTATGCTTCTATGAGTAAGGAGAGTATTACCAAATAGTACCAGAAATTACTTGGATAATTTCTACTTTTTTTTAATTATAAAAAAATACTAAATTCTACAAATATACAATAGCACATCCAATATACATTTTAACAAGCACAGGGTTTTCCCTTCACCCTTGAATTACTTTAAATAAATCCAAGACAGATCATCAAATCCATGAAATATGTCAGCAAGAGCCAGATGGTGAGGCTCAGTGGTCACTTGCCTTTGGCTGCTATGTGCCTGGGTTAAGTCCCCAGCATCTCCAAACAACAATAACAACAAAAGCATCTCTCCAAGTGTTTCTTAAGGGCTGGAATTTAGTCTTTAAACATATTTGCCAATTTTTTAATAATTTGGATATATAGTTTTTTCCAGTACAACGAGTCATCTGCAATTTCTTGATCAGGGGAAAAACAACAAAAGACTTTATAGCATATTTTGTACTTAAATAGACATCAACCTTGGTAGCGGAACACATAGCTATGACAACAAAAACCCATTCACTTAAAAAAGATTTGTTATGTACCAATTTTTCCCTAATCATGTAGCTAAATTTTGAAAATTAATATTATTTATAGGATTAAAATTTAGCAAGTACATACTGCAGGTCTTAAGTATGTATGTTCTTGATTTTCCTTTTCTTAGAGCATACTTGATATTCACTGTCTTTGTATATAGTTTTATATCAAGCTTAAATCTTTTCTTTAGACTAAAAGGAGAATTGTAGTGAGATAACCACCCGCCAGCACCTGTTGCACTGACCACGCCCACTGGGGGGTGGGGACAGGGGTGGAAGTGACAGGAAGGAACTGGGTCTGGGGTTGGGAACCCTGGAGCTCTCTCTTGCTTCCTGGATGGAGACTGAGAGCATCCGAGAGGCATACTTGGGACTGGAACCTGCTGGTCTTCATCTGAGTTGTAAATTATTTCTCCCTGAATAAACATCTATTCAGCCTGTTTTCCCCATCCTTATTTTTCCATGATAACATACTTTATTACAGAAAGCAAGGAATCTTTTACAGCAGCCTAAGGATTAAACATTAAAGAAAAAGATGCCACACTATCAATTTGGTGGAGTAAAGAGGAGGTAACCTAGAAGTGACATCTTACCTCAGCAGCTTCATTCATCTTTACAATCATGGCGCTCACAACATCATCTGCATCACTAATAAAAGTGCCTCCATCTCGATTTCGTCTGCGTTTGCCGCACATGCTCTTTTTTCGTTGTAACATCATCTCAAAATCAGACAGAAAGTCCATACTATGCAGCAACACAAAATCTTTAATTATAATTAAGAACATCAAATTGTCTAATCTTATTCTGATTTGAGATGGCTGGCCTGGAACTCACAAAGTGACCAGGCTGAACTCAAAACTCCAAGAGATCAGTCTGCCTCTGCCTCCTGATTGCTGGGATTTAAAGGCATGCACACCATGCCTATCGAAGTGCTTATCGAAGTGCTACTTTGTTGTAGGAATTTAGCAGTCACTGTATCTGAGGTAGATATGAGAATGAACAGGCCCCCCCCCATAGTACTTTGACCTTGAAGAACCCTTGCGGGAAACTGTTTTGGTGAAGGGGATTTGCAGCCACCCCACCACTCTGGTCAGAAGGAGACTCAGGAGTTCCTGAGGCTTTTGTATTATTTTGTATTGCAAACGATACAGAATAAAGGACCTGGGTGTGTATGAGGGGAGGACACAACATGTGATGCTCTCCTTTAGTAAGACATGGAAATTAGATTAGGGACCTTAGTATGAGAAAATACTTTGTGTAGCAATCAATAAATACACCCTTGTACAGCTGCTGCTGCTGGTGGTGGTGGTGGGGTTTGAGAGGCTGGATCTTCCTGCTGCCACACAGGCCTTACAAATTCATTTTCTTTCTTCAACCAACCTGTGCTTCACAGTGCACCTGACACTACTTAAAAAAAAAAAAAAAAAAAAAAAAAAAAAAAAAAAGCTCAAATAGGCATACCTTACTACCACAGAAGCGTGACCCTCACACTTCATATCTAATTCCTGTTCTACCCTACTGATAAATATTAACACAAATTGGCCTAAGCTTTTGATATTCCACATTGACACCTGTCATCTATTAGCTTAAGACTGAATATTTCAAGTCCTCAGTTAGGAGCACCTTCAGTTGAAGTGAGGAATAGAAAAAGTTCCATTATTTGAATGCTTTTGTCTTACGAACCATGATTAGAAAGAAATGAAAAAAATCAACTGACACTTTTTAGCAAAGAAGAGCGCAAAACAAAGTGACTACAGGCATGCTAAGTGCCTGGCCTTTACAGCCACCACAAATCACACTTGAAAGGGCATTACCTCACTCTGCTGCATGCTAATAAATTCTAATTTCTAAAAATAGCACCCAAATTTTACTTCTTAGTTCTTGCACATCACTCGAGGAGTATCTACATTTCTTAAAGCATAATCTTTAAAACTGTGGATTACATTGATAGATTTTCCTATGCTGAACCATCCCTGCATCTCAGTGGTTATCACCCCATTCTTAACGTCACTTTTTTCTGAACATAGTTCACAACTATTTTAACAAAAGTAGAGTATAATTAAAAAACATTTTGGTATTGACTTTAAATTTATTTCCCCTGCCACCCAAAACAAACTTTTCTCCCTCAAAGTTTTTTTATATTAGATTATTTTCCAGTAATTTATCTATAAAAATAAATTTAAAATGTCATATGATCTATAAGACACCTGAGCACAGAGCAAGTAACAGCAAACAACTATCAGTAAACTAAGGTGACAGGAAGAGAAAAAGGAACATCCTCTTCCAAGTCTGGGGCCCAATGAGAACCAGGCAAGCCCAACAGTCTCTACCTTCACCTTTCTCAAAAATCAACAACAAAACACTCACTGCTTTCCTCTCTTTATGTTATCATCGGAATCGGAATCTTCTGCCTCTTTTAGCTGGGTTTCGCTCTTCTCTTCCTCCAAATCTTCTTGGTTAAAACCCTAAAGGCACAGTGAGGTAGCCCAGTTATCATAACCACCTTACAGATTTCCTTCTGCAAACAACTCCTGATTTCTCACATTATAAGTAATATATCCACAAAGGACAATACTGAACAGGTATCAAGAAGTGTAGCAAAAGCTCCCTGCTTAGCCACTAGTGTATGGAGTCTGCTTCATCCAGAAAAGCTCATAATCATGTGAGCACTTTCATGCTTTAGTGTCTCCTTTTATTATACATATGTCAGCATACCATTCAGAAGGTAGGAGATACTGTCTTGCACTTTCCAAATTCTATAACCTAAAATACTTTTATCCTTTGTAAGGCTTTCTATTATTTTACTGTAAGTATTAGAGAACTGTTACCAAAGAAATGAAAAAATTGCATCATTAAAACTTACTGTAAATTCCTCTTCCTCTTCATCGCCAGATTCTCCAAATATATCTGCAATAAGATTTCTAGAAAACCAAATATGAAACCACTCATCAGCATTCTTATATGTGCATATATATCATTTTTTACAAACAAAGTATTATTTATGGGTGGTAAAATATGCAGACCTTAGGCATAAAGTTCAACAGGCTTTAACAAACATATACACTCATATAACCAGTGCCCTAATCGAAGAAGCCTATTTCCCTAGAAATTTCCTCAGCATTTTCTCACGCAGAACTCAACCTGCAGGTGAGTGCAATTTGTTTTATTTCAAACACTCTACTGACTGATCCACATCCTCAGCCCCTCACAACCCTTTTAAATGAGCCCTTCATCGCTAAGACCCCAAGGTAATATGATCATGAACTTTGCCAGCTTTTAAATGTTACCTAAATGGAGCCATAACATACTCCTTTCTTATTTTTTATTTTTGGATTTTTTGAGACAGGGTTTCTCTATGTAGCTTTGTAGACCAGGCTGGCCTCAAAAACAGAGACCCATCTGCCTCTGCCTCCCAAGTGCTAGGATTATAGGCGTGCACCACCACTGCCCACACGGCTAACATACTCCTTTTGATCTCCTCCAGCCTCCAGTCAGCATATTATTTGAGACCTACTCCTGTTTTTGTGTGTGTAGTAATATTGTAGCATTGACCCTAACCCTGAGACCCACTTGGGTTTTTGTGTGTGTAGTAAGTAACACTTCAGCATGAAGTCCTAAAGGCAAAGCCATGCAGGTAGGTAGCTGAGGCTTTGCACCTCATAAAGTCCCTCTTTACTACTTAAGAACCCTGGAAACCCCATGTTCTCACTTACTCTTCTTCGTTGCCTGATTCACTATCACTCCCAAATAGATCCTTCTCTTCATTCTTCTTTACAGACAATTCTTCTTTTCCTACTTCTTCTTCACTGTCAGATGCTGCTGTCTTCTCTCTTTTGCTTGACTTGTCTGATACAACATCACTATCAGAGTCGTCAGCATCAGAGACAACTCGACTCTTCTTTGCCACTGTTAGAAAATACAATCACTTGTGTTATTTTGTTATGTAATACTAAGTGTAATGGGCTGTGAAAATGTGAGCACTGGGGAAAAAAAAATCGAATAGCTAACACATGAATTAGAAAAAAAAGTTCCCAAATAACTGGTGTAGCTTAGCAGTAGAGCACTTGCCTAGCAAGCACAAGGCCCTGGGGTTCTATTCTCAGCATCAAAAACATAAATAAGCACACTGATAGTCATTGTACGCATTTTCTGCTACTTTACCTAGGAAGGAGTGACTAAATAATAAAGACAGCATCTTTTGGGGGAACAGAGAAAATTCAGTACAGTCTGCTGGGCAGAAGAGACATCTTTCCTATGCTGTGCAGCCTTCAATCTAAACTGCTATTTCCCCATGTTCCTTCTGGTAGTATCAGACTTCTGGGTAAGATGGTGGACCTGAGGCTGATTCTGGGGAAACCAGTGAAGCACAGATTTAATAACAAAAAGCTGACTGTACCTCAACAGGAGAAATAAAGAAAAAGCTTGGGAAGCCCTTGAGGGTAAGAAATGACTCTGGAAGGCACAAGAAGAAAGAAAGAAAGAAAAAACAAAGAACACAGAGCAGCCAGCCAAACACTTCCAAAAAGTAAGCTAGATAGCTAGATGAAAGACAGGTAGTCATACCCTCAGGGCAATCTACAGCTCTTATGAGCCCCCAAATTAGTTGGGGTTTATTAAGACAATGATTCTTCCAGGGAAAAGGAAACCCATGAATCATAGGGCAATAACCAGGTATAATCTCGAGGGAATCTATTGTTAAGAACTGAGCTACCCCAGGGCCTGGAATCAGGAAACCACCACAGTCTGAGAGCTGTTGTGTGGCTTGCTGCCACCCACCCCTGCATGAAGGAAGGCCTAGAGAGGCAGTGCTGGATGTAATGGACTAAAGGGTGCAGACAGCAGAAGGCTGCATTAGGCTAGGAAGTGCATAAGAAAAAAAAAGGGAACAGATCTCATTAATGAGCGTTACCCCAGAGTCTGGTAGCTCTGAGCCAAGGCCAGTGGATAGATCAAAATCTGGAACCATCTACCTGTTGTTCCCTGCTTTTGAGTCTAAGAACTCTGAAATTTCAGGGGTGTACTTGATAGCCACAGCTGCATCTGTTCTATTCAGCAGTGTAATCAGTACTTAGGAAGGTGGCTTGGTAGTGGTGGGGCACGCCTTTAACCTCAGAACTAGGGAGGCAGAGGCAGGTGGATTTGAATTCTGAGTTTAAGGTCAAGCTGATAAAAAGTTTCCAGGATAGCCAGGGCTACACAGAGAAATCCTGTCTCAAAGAACAAAAACGATAGAAAGTTTCAGTGCTGTGGTTGCTTTCTACACTGCCAAGGAAGTTGGGAGCCTTCCCCACTCCAAGCTAAAACAGCCGATCTAGGTGTTAACAGTTTGGGGACTCTAGTGAAGATTCTAAGAATCTGCCTAGTTCACAAAATGTATATAGAATGTAAAATTCAGTGTGGCCAGCCAGTTAAGAGTCTCATCACCAAAATGAAAAACAGAAGACAATTCTAGTAGACATCAGAGACCCAGACAAATCTCAGAACACACAGAGCATAAACTAGGTAAGTTTAACTGATCCTCTCTTGTGCACTCAAGTAGCAATCTCCAATTCTCAAGGAACCATAAAGAAACTATAGTCATATGGCAACATTTTTTTCTTTTTTCATGTAATTTTTTCTCCTACACATGTAAGCTGTAAGCAAGGTTTTTTTTTTTTTTAAATTGTACTGAATTTTTAATCTTGGTTATTCTCTTTTATACATTCATTTAATTTGTTTATGCATTTTTGTTACCATTCTTGAATAATATTCTTTCTTTTCCTTAGTTTCATATTTTTCTGTTTTGTTCCTATGGCTGTCTTTCCTTACTCCATCATTAGTAGTATTTTGGCTTTATCATACTGGCTTTAAAAAAAAAAAATCTTTAAAATTTCTATTCTTACATTTATTTAATTTTACTTTTGAATGTTTTCACTATGGGAGTATTTTGTTTTCTTTTAAATTTTCCCCTAATTTCTTGTTCTTCTGTCTTCCTCTCCAAAATGTCATCAGCTTTCCTCTATTATTCCTCATTTCTCCATTCCTCTCCTTCTCCTGCCTGCCTCTCTTTACCTCACATTTATCTCTACATTTGCCCTAGGTAATGTCTAACTTCACAGCACACTCTACACAGCACAGTAGTTGTGCTATTTCCAGTCCTGCGCCCACTGGTGGATTAGGTGCAATGGCTAACGTTAAGCCTCTTTATAGATCGTGTGTGGTTTGATGATGTCGCTGCTACAGCAGTCTGACTCCTTCTCACTTATTGACACAGGACTGAGCCTTCAAGAGTAGACTGCTCAGTAAAATGACTCCCATCCCCAGACTAAGAAAATATACCCAAACAAATAGGTGCGTAAATCACAACTCAAAAATACAAGAAATGTGAAAAAGCAAGGCCACATGGCTCCTCAACTAACAAAAATCAAAGGTACTGAAGCAGATAAATTTCAAAACTTTTCTGGTAAAAATGACCAATAACCTGAAAGGATACAAAGCAGATAAATTTAATTCATCCCCAGAGAGGTGGTGGTAGTGGGGGGTTTCCTACAAAAATCAATGAGAAATCTGAATGGAAAAAGCAATACAGAAGAAAAAGCAAGAAAACAGATTTTTTTTAAGGTGGGAAAAAATGTTAGAAATAAACTCAAGGAATCAAATAATATTGCCTTAGGTTTCCCCTTTAACAACTGTCATAAAGGAATGTATTTTTTTTTTTCAAAAATGACAAGCTACATAAAAAGGTATTAAGTAAAAAATATTAGTGTGAACATGGAGTTAGCAAAGACTAACACTGCAGAGTTAAGGTCCTCCAAACCCTCCTGGATGTGGGTACTCAACAATGCTGAACACTGAACAAAGAGAAGGACTTCCGAGGCTCAGTTCCTGTCTGAGTGAAAGTGAATTAGCAGTCACAGAGAACCCTAGCCAAAGAGAAATATTTCCTTCAGTGGAGGAGCCACTGGTAAGGTACATGACTTCTGTAAAGTAAACCTAATAAAACTCATTTGGTTACAAAAACCAAAATATCCATAAAAACAAGAAGGTATGGGGGAGAGGTGAGAGTTAAGACAGGGTAAGGAAGCATGATTAAAATATATTATGTACTTGTATGTGAAAGGCCATGATGAAATGAACTTTACAATTAGTAAATGCTAATAAAATATACCACAAAAGGACCAATATTTCAGTTACAAATATAGACAATAAGGAAAGCTATAGCCCAATATAACTCCTTACATGCTTTGTCTTCGTCTTCACTATCAGAAAGCACAGCAGCCTTCCGCTTTACTACTTTCTCCTCGTCCCCCTCCTTCTCTTCATCTTCATCACTATCCATTTTCTGCCTTTTTGGTTCTTCCTCCTCACTATCAGAGCTGTGGAGTCTTTTTCTGTCTGTATGGCCCTCTGACTCATTCTGCATTTCCAAATCTTCCCTCTTATTCTCTCCATCACTATCATCTGACTCTGGTTTGTCTTTGTGTCTGGAGGCATCCTCAGCTTCTGAATCACTAGCAGGTCCTTTCTGAGGCTCCTCACTTTCCGAGTCACTGACTCGAGGTTTGGGGAGCTCCTCACTTTCCGAGTCACTGGCCTGTGGCCTTGGAGGCTCCTCGCTTTCCGAGTCACTAACTCGGGGTTTGGGGAGCTCCTCACTTTCCGAGTCACTGGCCTGTGGCCTTGGAGGCTCCTCGCTTTCCGAGTCACTGACTCGAGGTTTGGGGAGCTCCTCGCTTTCCGAGTCACTAGCCTGTGGCCTTGGAGGCTCCTCACTTTCCGAGTCACTGATTCGAGGTTTGGGGAGCTCCTCACTTTCTGAATCACTTATTCGAGGTTTGGGAGGCTCCTCAGTTTCTGAGTCACTGGCCTGGGGCCTTGGGGGATCCTCACTGTCAGACTCGCTGCCCTGAGGCTGCAGAGTGTCCTCAGCATCAGAGTCACTGGCAGCTCGCTTTCTAATCTCTTCCTTTTCTGAGTCACTTGCATGCCCATTAAGAAGCTCTTCATTTTCAGAGTCGCTCCCATGCTGGTTGACATCTTCATTTTCAGAATCACTGGCAGGAGACTCTGCATGTTCCTCAGATTCAGAGTCACTATCCTTTGTCCTGTGAAGTTCCTCACTCTCAGAGTCACTGGCATTAAGTTTGTAGGGCTCATCCTCAGAGTCTGTTCCATTCTGTCTCTTATTCAAGTCATCTTCTCTGTCACTAGTTTCATTCTGAAAACATAGAGAAAATTAGCAAGGTAACCTTAAAAATTTTCAGCAATTTTTTAAAATGTAGGGATATGGGCATATTAAAGAAGATTTTTTTCCATCTTATATCAATAAAGAAACATCACTTTAAACTAAGGCCAGTCTGTGAAATGGATTGCCATAGTATGGCCCCCCCAAAGAGAAGTATACCAAATCTGTAAAGCATACTCCTACATGTAGAGGCCTTTATTTTTTAAAAACAGAGCTTTAATGCCTCATGTAATTCTAATTACCCAAAGAAATATAAGCAAACACACTACCAAGTTTTTCACAAAGGTATAAACAATCCTAAGTTTAATAAAATTGGTATTGTTTTAAGGAAAAAAACCTTTAACATAAAAATTGTGCTCCCAGAATTTGGGAGGCAGAGGTAGGTACATCTCTGGTCCTTAGATCGAGTTTCAGGACAATTCCATAATTCAAATAGTCAAACAGCATATATTCATTCATGCTGTTTCATGAATCTCAACAAACAAAAAAAGCAGTTACTATTTCCAAAGTACCCATTAAAAGCCAGTATTACGTTTGGCTGTTTCCTGTTGGCTGGCTCACTTTTCATAACAAGTACTTCTCAAGCCGAGAAAACAGGCTTCTACTTATAACAGAGGATGTGCTGTATAGCACTCAGGAGGCTAAGGCACAAGGGATGAGAGTTTGAGGACAGCTGTGCTATAAAGTAAAAACCCTGTGTCCAAAAAAAAAAAAAAAAAAAAAAAAAAAAAGAGAGAGAGAGGAAAAAATTAAGGGTAGGAGATGAGAAGGAATGGTATACATATGGGGAGGGATAACTAATACTAAAATCTTTTTGAAAAAATCATATGGAAACATACTACTGTAGAAGCTTCCTAAAATATATACACATATAAAGAATAGTTAAAATGAACTAGTATACAACAACGTGACCCAACTAGACTCTGTGGTGATATATCATTTATGATTTATTAAAGCCACTGAAGATCAAAATAGCAAAGTAGCCATACTAGTGAGCTATCGAAGTCAGGCAGTGGTGGCAGACACCTTTAATTTCAGGACTCAGGCGACAAAGGAACATGGATCTCTCTGAGTTCAAGGCCACCCAATGCTACACAAGACTGAATCAGTCTCAAAAAGTAACAAAGCTCAAGCCTTTGATCCCAGCACTTGGGATCACACGCCTTTAATTCCAGCACTAGGGATGTGGAGACAAGAACTGAAAGCTTTTACCTGAGGATTCTTAGAGATAGGATTGTCATTTCAACTTGGTAGAAGTAAGATCTACTGGCTTGGCTGCTTTGCTTCTCTGATCTTCAGCTAGAAGCCTGAACCCCAATATCTGTCTCTGGGTCTTTTATTATTCCTGTTACAAGATACCACATGCTAACAAATAAAAAAGCCAGTACCAAAAACAGGATTTCTTTTTGAATTACTGGCTAGCAGAGTCCTAGTGATATGCCCCTCATTATTATAGGTTATTGTCAATACTATTGGCCACCCTCCAGAACATGATGGTGAGATCCACATACTTGAGCCACAGAACAAGGGAAAATCCACTTAGTACTCAAATGGTTGCTTTCATCACTACTGGCTAGCTTTCACAGTAATGAATGTGCTGCACCACTACCAGAGGAGTAAAGAAAGCATCCAGCTGTGAACCCTGCTACCTACAATAATGACCCACCTGGCAAGATATGTCCACCAGTGCAGTAGGGGCACAAATGCTACAGGAGTAACTACCTACTTTTCTAAATTTAAGGCCTGCTCCATGAGATCGAATACATACCTGTCAACAAGACCAAGAGCCTGTGGCTAGGTAGACATATTATAGACCAAGGTTAGGAAAACCTACTACTATTATTCTGATAAAAGAACATAGGAATAGAATGATTCTTAATGACCTATTGCACATCATTTAACCCTTCTAGTAATAGATGAAAAACAACATAGGTCAATAGGTAGAGAATAAAAGATTTTGTTTGGAGTGCTGAGCCCTAAATTGGATATCTGTACTCCTTTCCCCTCAAGGCTCAGGAATCTAAGCTGAAGCGGGGATAGAAAGAGCCATATGTGGTAGATGACTTCAAGGAAACTTTTCCAGACAACAGGGCAAAGGCACATATGAACTTCTGATCCTACCCCCTGAAAGTTGGGGTTACAATCATGCACAACTACATTGAGTTTACACAGTACTAGGTACTGTACTCAGGAGCATATAACATTCTAGGCAAGCACTCTATCAGTTGAGCTTGCCCCAGCCCAAATGTCATCTTTTTAACAAGTAAAAAATTCCCATTTAGAACTGTTAAAAAAAAAAAAAAAAACTGAGCACTTTGCGAATCTTAGGAAGCTTTAGAGATGTCTGATCTCTAGCTTTTTCTGTAATCATTCACACTGCAGTTATAAATAACTATTGGATATCTATCATAACCATCTTGTTCATTTCAGCAGTCAAATAGCAATCATGCTCTTAGAGACTAGAGTCATAACACTTAACAGAAATAACTGACTTTCATTTATGAGCCTTAGCCTTTAAATGTTGAGCCATCTCTCAGCCTTAATTGACATTCTTAAAGTGAAAAGAAAACAACTGTAAAGCAATGATTTGTAATGTAAGGGGAAAGGAGGGAAAAGATGAGGGGAGTCTTTATTAAATATCACAATTCTACCAATATGATGTAAACTCCCAGATAGAAATGCAATGTTTTTTAAAAATTCAATTTTTATCAGCTGATCGGTAGTGGCACACATCTTTAATCCTAGCACTCGGGAGGCAGAGGCAGGCAGATCTCTTGAGTTTGAGGCCAACCTGGTCTACAGGCGTGAGTTCCAAGACAGCCAGGGCTACACAGAGATAACCCTTCGCACAAAACAAAACAAAAACTTGGCAGCCATAAAGCTTGGCAAAAATACTCCTCCCATGTAGCCTTTTCCATCTTTCGCTCTACAAAGAAAGATTTTGTGCAATGTAATGTGAAAGTTAAGAACAGAGACTTAAGAGTCACATAACAGCCTGGGAAACCATAGCCCTGCCATTGTACATTGTATGACCTAGGGAAACATTCTCAGTGCCTCAAAGCCTCCATCTACAATGTGATAGTCAGAAACAGCAATTATACTTTAAATAGCTGCTCTGAAGATTAAATGCATTTAATGGTGCTAATAACAAAACCTTACTAGTTGTAATTATTAATTATAAAATCTTTCAAGACACATCCTGTGACAGTAGAGCTAGCCATTCCTTTTCCATAACCCCCCACAGCATCTTCTATTTCTACATCGCCAAAAACATGAGACTACCTATTTTCTAATTTAAACACTTTATATGTGTGAGTACTTTGCCTGTGTGTGTTGTGTGTTGTGTGTGCAACCACAAGTGTGCCTGGTGCCTGCAAAGCCAGAAGAGGCTATCAGAGCAACAAGTACTCTAAATCACTGAGCTAACTTTCTAGATAGACACCCGTTTTTACAACATTTTATAGATTTTATGGAATAGTACTTGTACAAAATTCCACACAAAGGGGATCAGTGAGTGGTTAATGGGTTCAATTCCTAGCACCCACATCGTGGCTCACAACTGTCTATAACTCCAATTTCAGGAGATCTGATGCTCTCTTATGGTCTCTACGGGCACTACATGCATGTAGTGCAAAATACTCATACACAAAAAATAAAAAAATTCGTCTTTAAGTTTGGTGATGGCACAAAGCTTATTCCCAGCACCTGGGAAAAGGCAGATGGATCTCAATGATTTAAGAACACTCTGATCTACAAAGTAAGTTCCAGGCTAGCAATACAGTGAGACTCTGTCTCAAATACAAAGTTCACTCAAACTTCCTAGGGAGCACACAATTTGAAAATATTCTGGGTTTTTCAGAAAACTATTAAGACCAAGTCTACAAGATACAAGAGTTTCAAATAGCAGTTACTACCCTGGGTCATCATTCACATCTCAGAATTGGCCAGTGAAAGCTAAATGACCTTCAGCCAGGACTATCCAGGCCCCTTCCCCTCAATCAGGCAGAAAGTAAACCTCAGGCTATTTTCACAGAATCCTGTGCCCACTTCATGGTGTGGTCAGACCAATCTGGTCACCACTAAGTAAATCCCAAGATTAGTTGATAACTGCTGCTACTAATAAGCACTTCTCAATTTGCAAACTTAAAGGAAAGGAAGGTTTTGGGCCCACACTGAATGGGGAAAGGCACAGGAGCATTAATGACACTAGACACTATTTCTGCCACATGTTTGCAGAGATCATTTTGAATATGGAAAGGTCTTGAGAACCAGAAAAAGGAGTAGAAACAAAGTCAAACAAGGTCTTCTAAAAGGCACTAAACTTTGCTGACTTCCACTGAAAACAGTGGGAATCCAATTTAAAATCTCTGGAAAAAATCCCCAGAGCAAAAAGAAAATGAAACTTCTAAATTCACCAAGAAGCCAGAGCCTGCAATACCTGAAACCAAGATCACATCACTCTCCTTCCGATCTCAAAGATGATTAACACAGAGATCCTATTCAAGACCAATCACAAACTCAGGCCCTACTACCCCCCATACACAGTGAGGCAGTTTTCTTTCTAGAGGAAGCAAGATATCCTACCTTAAGATTAATCTGTGGAGGCTAAATCCTGGGTGAATGCATTCCAGATCAGGGGTGTCCTCTTCTCTCCCATCCTTAATCAAAGGTCATACCTTGGGCACAACATTTAGAAAATACCAGGGGGCTCTTATCACTCTTCCCTCACCCCTGCCTCTTGCCAAGAGCTCAGCTTCTGTAGCTGTGATATCAATATTTTCCCACCACTAGTTCCAGAGCCCTGGAGAAAACATGGGCTTAAACTAATCACCCCGATCAAGCCCCAAAGAAATGGACTTCATATATAACCAGATTTGAGGCAACTGTGGCAGAAGGCACTTGGGAAGAGATTCCAGACACAGGCTACACTATAGGCCAGTTAGTTTGCTGGACAGTATCAGGGACTACAGCTAGGAAGAGGGGCTAGAGAGATGGCTCAGCAGATAAGAAAACAGGCTGCTCTACCAAAGGACCTGGGTTTGACTGGCTCAGAACTCCAATTCCCAGGGATCTGGTGCGAATTTATGGCTCTGCAGGTACCAGGAATGCATCTGGTACACAGGCACACATGCAGGCAAAACACACATGAATAATAAAAAGACAGCTAGGAGTAGTCACTCTAGGATCACACAGTTCGTAGAAACTATTCAGTTCTCAATTCCAAATAGCCAGAATTTAGTGGAAGAGGATGCTAGGGGCCAGCCACCCAGTAACACAGCCAGCCAGAGTATGAAAGAAAGATGTACAAACAGAAAAAGGTAAAAAACCCAGAGGCAAGTTAAGAAAAGGTAGATAGAAATAAGCCAAGCTAAAGCCAGGGATTTATAAATAACAAGTCTCCATGTATTTATTTGGGAGCTAGGTGGCAGGCCCCCAAAGAATAAAGAGTAAGAGTGGAAAAACAAAACAAGCAAAATCAAAACAAAAGAACCCCCCCACAACTACAACAGAGCAAACAAGACTAATTCCTGTCATAAACTTTAATAAATTATATATCCCCTGACTCTTACTGCCTCAAGTAGTATTTCTGACTGCAAATGCTTACTGCCCTTGCCAGATATTATTTAGGGATGGTGACGCCTACTACTAGATCATACTTTGAATAAACAGGCATAGTGAAATCTGCCTAGTATTTAAAATCTGACCCAAAAGAACTTTTTCCCTGTGCTCATCCATGACCAGACCATCCCTATTCATTTTAAAACAATCTTCTAGTAATTTATATCCTTTTACTTTCAGAGGTAAAAGACTAAAGGCTGTGACAAGGCCTAAAACTGCTAAATAAAACAGGCGCCATAGAAAAGTAAGGAAAAGCCTCCTCAGAAAGGCTGTACCTCTGAATGCTGGTCTATACTTCCAGTGTCGGATCCGGAGGGCTGATCGTTTACATCATCCTCACCATCTGACCCCGAATCCCGCTCGTCCTGGACTGGAGTAGCACCACCATCATCTGCTTAAAGGAAACAAAACCCCCTTAGAGTGTAAAATGGATGGTATCTGTAGTAATGTTTATGATTACAATTAAAATGAAATCTACAGTTGAGATGAACATACCTAGTACAAGAGTCAAAAGTTACTACTATCAAAGAAGCACAGCTAATAACAAATGTTCTGAAGAAACAATAGAAGACTCATATAAATACCAACTATTACCGTGCAATGTGGCACATAGAGCAGTGAAAATATTCCACACACGCAAAGCCTAAACCACTAAATGCCAAGTCAAAATCCTGGAACTTGCTCTGTAGACCAGGCTGGTCTCAAACTCACAAGAGAGCCACCTGCCTCTGCCTCCCGAGTGCTGGGGCTAAAGGCGTGCACCACCAATGCCCAGCTAATTTTATAAAATGAATAGAAAATATGAACTGTCACCTAACCTTAACTAACACCTTAAAAATACAAAAAAATTATCCTTGAGAGGTATTTAAGATATTGAAAAACATGACTTGATTAGCAGCTTAAGAACTAAGTAAACAAATACAAATTAAATGAAACAGTCAACTACAAGAAAACCAAAACAGTAATATAAAAATTGATGACTTCCATACTAATGAGATATTCTATTCACCTAAAGAATAGTTTAAAGTTGGGCATGGCACACACCTTTAATCCCAGTGCTCAGGAGGGGGAGGCAGAGGCAGGCAGGCGAATCTCTGTGCGTTTGAGGTCAACCTGGTCTACAGAGCAAGTTCCAGGACAGCCAAGGCTACACAGAGAAAACCTGTCTTGAAAAACAAACAAAAAACAGACGTAAAAATAATTAAAATTTAAAAACGGCTAAATTCACACCTTTAATCCTAGCATTGGGGAGATGGAGACAGGCTGATCGTTGAGGATTTCAGACCAGCCTGATCTACAAAGTGGGTTTCAGACCAGCCAGGACTTGAGACTGTGTCAAAAAACCAAAACAAAACCAAAACTAACCAAACAGCTAAAAGAATGGTGTGTTAGGGAATTGCTATGCTTTTGCTACCACTATTTTTCTTGTAACATAGCCTACGAACCATATTACATGGAATTTTAACTTAATTTCAAAATACCAATGAATTGAAAAATATTTTTTGAAAACATGAAAAGATATTTTAAGCAAAACAGCAGTGAAGATGACGGGCGGTGGTGGCACACGCCTTTAGTCCCAGCACTCGGGAGGCTGAGGCAGGCGGATCTCTATGAGTTCGAGACCAGCCTGGCCTACAAGGGCAAGTTCCAGGACAGGCTCCAAAGCCACAGAGAAACCCTGTCTCAAAAAACCAAACCACACCAAAACAAAACCAGCAGTGGAGGTTCAGGACAACAGAGTCTTGTCATCACTGTTCAGTCATTAGCAATTGAAGCCAAAATAGAAAACAGCTTAATGCTTAGCCATCTATTACAGTACGTTTGATACAACAAATCCAAAAGAAATCGATCCAAAAGAAATCGGCACACAGCTGTTTTACCCAGCCAAGCCCTTGCCTTGTTCATCTTCACATCTCATGTGCCTAGCATAGTGGAGCCGACTTAGGAGAGAAGGCACGGATGTCACTCGAAAACTCCTTTGCTTTAAAATGCAAATGTAAACTTAAAAGATCCTGCGCTTTCTTCCTGGGCAGCCAGTATTACCGGAGAAATTAAACTAGCCCTAACTGGTAGAGATTAGGAAGGATCCCTGTCCCGCATTCAACAGTTTCTTAGGATCCTGGAAAGACTCAAAACTGCTGACAACTCCCTTAAAAGGGCAGACCCCTTCCCTGGTAGACAGAAGAAGCAACTTGAACAAAACCCCCTCGTGAACCGGGAAGACAGATTCCCTTACGAGTTCCCCCTCGGAGGTTCCAGCTCGCGCCCCGCCTCGCCGGTTCACCTGGAGAGGCACAAGGGGACATTCTACCCCGCGCCCCCCCACCCCTTGCTGGGGCGCGAGGCCAAGCCGCAGCCCGGTCGGTCCTACCCGACCCGACCCACCTGACTGGTCGCCGCTGTAGTACTCCGAGTCCATGGCGGGCGGGCTCTCGGCGGGGAGTGTCCGCGCCACGCGCCGCCCCCGTCGCGTCCTTCCTGGCGAGTGACCTCCCTCGGCGGCGTAGCGCCCCTGGCCCGTCCGAGAGTCCGGAGAGGTCGGCAGCGACGGGCGCAGACGCCTCGACCTGGAAACCCCAGCTATCAAAAAGGGCCGTACCTCACAGGCCCGCAAAGTGAAGACCCGCACGCAACTTCCCAGAAGCACCTCTGGGGCCAAAATGGCGCCGGCCCACGACCCTCAACGAATCGCAGTGCGCAGGCGCCGTCACCCTCCCGTCGGCCAATCAGAAGGTGCTCTGGTAGTATGACGCCATAGCACCGTCGGGAAGGAGACTGCTGGGAGAAAAGAGTGGTAGCGCGAAGTTCGGCTTCGGTTAAATACCGACCTCTGGCCTGATTTGGTCCGTTTCCAGTAGGAGTAATATTACCGGCTTGGTTCTGTGTTCGAGCTTACTTCAAGGAACATTTGAGTTTCTGCGAAAAATGAAAATCCGCTAAAATTACATTTTAACATTGGCCGGTTCTAATTCCCGCTCTTAGTTTAGAAAGTAGCGCATTGTTCTCTGGGACTTGTAGTTCAAAGGTTAGGGAGCGCTGATAAATTACTATATGGAGCTCTCAGAAGCCTCTTGCCGTTGCAGATCTCCAAGAAAGTAAAAAATTAGACAAAAGAAAGTAATAAAATACGGTGATTGGTACTAATGAATCGTTTTATTTGCTTTCTTTACAAAATAACCAAATTACAACTTAAAAAACTGTGTGGTCAACAAGTATAGATCTTTGTCTTAAGAGCTCCTTGATAGCCGGGCGGTGGTATCACATGCCTTTAATTGCAGCACTGGGGAGGCAGAGGCAGGCAGATCTCTGAGTTCCAGGCCAGCCTGGTCTACAGAGTGAAATCCATGACAGCCAGGGCTACACAGAGAACTGTGGGTGCTAAGAGGTGTGGAACTTCCAGGCAGGGTATATTAAAAAAAAAAAAAAAAAAAAAAAAAAAACCAAAAGAATGAGGTGGGGGTGTGGGGTGATCACTGCAGTGAATTCTGGGCTGCTGCCTGACTGGGTGGAGGTTGGGAGGCCAATCAGAATTTAAAAAGAAGGAGCTGAAAGATGGTAAGGTCTCTTGGAAATAGGAAAAGCAGTCACCCATCCAGACAGAGTGTCGGTTAGAACTAAGCCATATTTGTGTCTTTGTACCCGGAGCGGTGTGTGAAGTCGGTTTGCCAGTGTGTGGCAGGTTGTGGGAAAGGGTGGTATGAGGTTAGACTGGGAGTCAGTACACAAGCAGATGTCTCATGTCTGGGAGAACTGCTGGAGTTTTCCTTCTGCAGGACTGGGAAGTACGCAGTGAGGAATGTGTGCACAGGGTCTGATTAGCTGAGCGGAATAGCGAACATAAACAGCTAAGAATCTCTGGTGTGAGAGGGGGTGGGGCATAACGAATGTGTTACTGTTACAGGGCGTGGGGGGGGGTGGGTTCCTGGTCCTTTTTGTCTCTTGATATCCATGTGTGTGAGAGCAGCGTCCCTGGTCATAAAGAAACAGGTCAATGAACTTAAAAAGAAATTAATGCCTGAGTGAATACCCAGAAAACACAAACATAAGGCTGATGGAAATGGTGAAGACAATCCAGGATTTGAAAATGGAATTCAACAAACAGAAACATCGAATATAACTCAAGCTGAAATTAAGATGAATTGAAAGGCCCAATAACCCAGCTAAAAGCTCAGGCAAAGCCTCAGGATTACAATGAATCAAGCAGAAAACAGAATATCAGGACTTACAAGTAGAGGGCTGTCTTAGGGTTTCTATTGCTGTGACAAAACACCATGACCAAAATGAAAGTTGTGGAGGAAGGGTTTATTTGGGTTACACTTCAACATTGCTGTTCATCACTGAAGGAAGTCAGGACAAGAACTCAAGCAGGGCAGGAACCTGGGAGGCAGGAGCTGATGCAGAAACCATGAAGGGGTGCTGCTTACTGGCTTTCTTACCATGACTTGCTGAACCTGCTTTCTTATAGGACCCAGTACCAGCAGCCCAGAGATGGCACCAACTACCATGGGCCGGGTCCTCCGGCATTGAACACCAATTTGAGAAGATGCCTTACAGCTGTATCTCATCAAGGCATTTCCTCAGCTGAGATTCCTTCCTCTCTGATGACTCTAGCTTGTGTCAAGTTGACACACAAAACCACCCAGTACAAAGGCCTAGAACAAATAAAGAATATGAAGGAAATTATTACTCTAAGTACCACATAAAAAAATCAGAACACAAACAATGCATTTTAAAGTTGTGGAAAAACAAGAATAAAACATAACCCCAGCAGACAGCAGGCAGTAATAAAAATCAGAGCAGAAATTAATGACAGAAAAAAAAAACCAAAAAACAAACCAATTCAAAGAATCAGAGACTCTAAGATCTGGCTCTTTGAGTAGATAAACAAAATCAACAGACTGTTGACCCTACTTATCTAATGAAAGAGAAGACTCAAAAGAACAGAACCAGAAATGAACATGGAAACATTACAACAGAACAAAGTGGACCACTTACATCTGCCTATAACTCCAGATCCAGGGGATACAATGCCCTTAACACAGAAACACATTGGCACACACACCTCTCTCTTCTGATGCTCTGTCACCAGAGCTTTCTAGTTTTCCCCTTCTCCCAGAATAAAGTGCTTTCAGTGCTTATTGTCTTAGCATTCCTGGTTAAATAGCTGATAGCTGAGAGGAAAGTGCATACGTGTCTCTCTTTAGAATGTCATAGTTACAGCCTGGCTGGTGTCGCACGCCTTTAATCCCAGCTCTTGGGAGGCTGAGGCAGGCCTGGTCGGTCTATGGAGCTAGTTCCAGGGCAGGCTCCAAAGCAATACAGAGAAACCCTTGTCTCGGAAACAAAACAAAAACCAACAACAAAAAGGATGTTATAGTTATAAGTCTGTCCCTGTTTTGCCGTAACACGCCTTCATTGCTACTAGCCGTCCACCTCCCAAAGACTCTAGAACAGTGGTTCTCAACCTTCCTAATGCTTCAACCCTTTAATACAGTTTCTTATGTTGTGGTGACCACCCCACCATAAAATTATTTTTGTTGTTACTTCATTTTGCTACTGTCATGAATCATAATATAAATAAGTATTTGTGTTTTCCAATGATCTTGTGGGGTCACGACCCACAGGTTGAGAACTTTTACCCTAGACTCACATAGGAACCAAATCCGATATCAGAGCTCCCAGAACACCTTTAGCATCATTGGCCTCTTGTAAGGATAAAACTACTAAGAGTTCCAAGGACATTTCTTGTGATGATATATTATTTATGACTTAATAAAGCTACTGGAGAACAAAATGCAAAGAACCACAGATAAAGAGTCAGGCAATGGTGATACACAACTTTAATCCCAGCAGCCATACTAGAAAGCCATAAAGGCCAGGCAGTGGTGGCACACACCTTTAATCCCAGAATTCAGGAGACAGAGGCAGGCAGATCTTTGTTAGTTTAAGGCCAGCCTGGGCTACACGAAACTGATCCAGTCTAAAAGAGAAACAGCTCACACGAAAGTGATCCTAGCACTTGGAGTCACATGCCTTTAATCCCAGCACTAAGGAGGTGGAGACAGGACTGAAATGGCTGGGTGGAGAGGAATATAAACCAGGAGACGGGAACTGAGAGGCTGGCAGACTGAGCTGGTGAAAAGCAGTGCAGTCTGCATTGCACTCTGAGGGCTCATGGACACAGGATCACCCATTTGGGTCTGATCTTCAGCTTGAACCCCAATATCTGTCCCTGGGGTTTTATTATTCGTGTCATAATTTCTGGTTTCAGTCAAAGAAGAAACTGGCTACATTTCCCTCCTGTTTTTACCCTAAACTGCCTCTTCAATTTCTACTTCCTGTCCTTATCATCCCTTCACTCTCTGAAGAGGAAACCTTAACTGCCATTGTGGGATTGGGACAGTGACAGGTTTGGCTTCTTACAACTGGACTTGGGGTGTCAGGTGGGGCAGCATCACGGCATCCCTCCAGAGTGCCTATTTAAAAGAACTGAACTACCAGATGCAGGGAGAAAAGGAAGATCTTCGTTGATGTCTAGAAAAGATTTAAAATGTCCAAATCAAAGTTCATTAGAATCTCTCTGTGGGCTCACAGGAGCCCACACATACAGGCTCAGCAGATACACTCTCTTCTCCTAAAAGTGACCAGCGGAAAACATGCATTGGAAATGTAGGATTGGGCCCTGGAGATATGGCTCAGCGGTAAGAGTGCTTGCTATACCAACACAAGGACCCGAGTTCAGATCCCTACTACCCATATAAAACAGCTAGATTTGACTGCATGCATGCCGGTAACCCCCAGCCTTTGTGGGGGATGAAAACCGGAGGATCACTGGAGTTTGCCTAGTTCTAAGTTCAGAGATACTCTATCTCAAGGAAAGGAGATGGAGTAGTGGCTCTCAAACTTCTTAATGCTGTGACTGTTAATACCGTTTCTTACGTTGTGGTGACCCCAACCATAAAATTATTTCCATTGATACTTCATAACTGTAATTGTGTTACTGTTATGACCCATGATGTGCTTTCTGATGGCCTATGGTGACCCCTGTGAAAAGGCTGTTAGATGCCTAAAGGGGTTGTGACCGAAAGTTGAGAACTGCTAAGTGGAGAATGGTAAAGTTGTCTGACCTTTGAATATGCATACCTGTATATGCATGTATACACACACACACACACACACACACACACACATAATTTTTTAATTAAAAATATACAAAACTAACTTTGTTCTTTGGTGGTTCTTTTGCTTGTTTGTATTAAGGAAGTCTCAGTATACAGCCCCTGTTGGCCTGGAATTCACTATATAGACCAGTCTAGTCTCAAATTCATAGAGATCCACCTGCTTTTATCTTGAGTGCAGTGGTTAAAGGTATGATCCGTTAGGCTGGCTGCTGATGGTTCTTATTTATGAACTGAGCAAGGATGGTTTCAGGAAGAGTACACAGTCACTTGATGTAACCAAGAGTTCAGTTTACTCAAGTGGCTGAACTCACAGCCTTAAGCAGGACATGCATCAACAGAAAACAAATCAGCTAATATTCACACTAACAGTCATTATGTAATAAGAGCAATACAGAAACAAAGAGAATTTCTAACCTCCTCCAGCTAAGCTATACAAAACAGTTAACAGATCTTAGAACTGCTAGAGGCTATACATTTGTCTAAGCAATTAGTCATCATTAAAATCCCAGAACATCCTAAACCAGCCCTGAAGAAGTAAAG